GTCAAGTTTACTGCGGAAGTAAGTTGTTTTGTTTGAATGCCTCACTTCCTGTGAGCACAATTAAGGTGCCTGTTGAGGCAGTGTCATCTGGGTCATGACCGATTATGGGGTGGTCTGTGCGGACTATAAATATGGCCTCTACAGTCGGAATCAGTGTGGAAGTCCGAGTACGAAGATGATCGCCGTTCTTTTCCTCGCAGCCCTCGTTTTTGTTGGATCCAGCGAAGGTATGTTCCAGAGCAAAACTCCCTTATGTGGCATTAGGTTAGTGGCTAAGACTTGTTAATCCTCATCCATCTTTAGGTGCAACACTGTATACTGCTTATGATAAACTAATGATTTTTGATTACATTAGCATGACACCTAATGGACACTGATGACAAATATAGTGTACTCTCGTTGTTTAGATATCGTATGCCCTAGCCTTGTTTGCAGCCAGCTTTTCATAGTAGGTCTTCATAGCCATGGAGTAGAGTGTATACAGGTGACCGCGATCCTACCCAAGCAATAATTGCTGAGACTAGCTCCAAAAGAATAAAAACGATGACGCTCTTGATAGTCCCAATGTCTCCACAAGACGGAGCATTGTGAAAATTGGCTAAAGTATTTTGTGTAGTTTCCCTCATTAACCCTTCTTCCAGCTTTTTTTGTCCATGAAAAAGTTGGTTATGGGTTTTGTTAGTAGGGAATTAGGATAGGCAGTTGAATGTACTTTAACGATTGCTATATACCTCTATATTATATCGATTTATAAATTTTGTTGATTTATATCTGTACATTTTCCTAATCTGCATTATCGTTTAACTTATTGCGGGAAAATGAGTATATGAAACTGCAACTTAGCGTTCTGCAGTTAAATTAGTATAGTCGGCGGCTGGAAGCGCCGCGCACACCTTACATTTACATGCGAAGCGACTTACTTCCAATTTACTTTAGACTTCCCTCTACTAATTTCCTTTCCCGCTCATCTTAGTTGCCCACCCCCAAAAACCTTTTAACTACCGTTTCCGTAGGACAAAATACTGGGACTAGGGGTATATGAGGTGCACTTAGTAAATTTATATAAAAAAACAAACAAAATCTTAAAATACTAACATGCTAAAATACTCGATAGTCATCTTGCGTGTGCGCAAATCGTCGATCGAGTTTTCAAACAATTTTGAGGCATTAATCCTTGAAAATCCTTCTCCACTGTCTTTTTGTATTTTTCTACAATACCACCGTTTTCATCGGACTCTTTTGCCCTTCAGGAGCACGTGGTCCTTGCGACTTTCCGATTGATCCCGGAATGTGCATGGCCTACTTCCCCAGTTATGGTTACAACAGTGAAACCCGTCGCTGCGAGGAGTTCGTCTACGGCGGTTGCGGTGGCAACGAAAACAGGTTTGACAGCCTGGATGAATGCAGAAGCATGTGCGAACATCGTCGAATCCGAGGCCTTTTTTAAGAACCTCGTGGGGGCCGACGAGCATAAGCACCTCCTCTGATCCAGATTTCTGTCTGTTCTCTATGCTATAATAAATTCTGGTCACATTGCATTATTATTTGTTTTTTATGGTGGCACAGATTGTATTTTGTTACGTAGCTAAGTGTTTCAAATCCTGAACTGGGCCGTTTATGAAGGGTTTCCTCAGATGGGGCTTATGAACTGTCTGCAACAGCAAGTATATTCTAACCGGTACCAAGTCTACCGAGTACATCCGGATCAATTACTGTCGTGTGTATTAGTAATGGACGTAGTTGGTTACGTGAGACAATCTCACGTATTAAAGGAATTTTCTATATTACTAAATTAACAGTAGATTTTATATCTGATGCGAGGTTGAGGAATGGAGGATTTAACTCACACTTGAGGTTTGTTGAGTTAGCTCATTGGGTTGAATTGGGTCGCAAAATGTTGTTTACTATAATTTATTTAGGTTCAGATCAGAATACTGGGAGAAAATAGAGGCGAATATGAGCGAAATCCAGCGTTTCTTGATATCCGAGGAAGTTCCTATG